CAGGCCCTATGGGCCTTTTGAATTTTTAAGTGCTATTTCAGGGTAGTGTATTGGGGTGCTATGAATGCCACATGGTTTGGATTAAATCGGGTCGTGGGCAAAATTCCATTGTTCATGAGAGGTCCTTTCACTTATGAATACTTGACACAATACTACACATTTGTCTCCACTACATAATGACTGATTAAGTATCTATATTGGGTTCTAGCTCACTTTTCATCTATTAAGTATTTATAATTTATATATCGGTAAAAAAATTGCTGAAATTAAATGATAGAAAAAATGGCATGACATCAACACGACGATAATCAAAATAGAAAAGATTTTAGCAAGACAGTAAGAAATACCTAAAAAGAAGTTATATTATTGAATTAGCAAAGATAGATATTGGGTCTCAGAGGACATAAAATATACAAAAATAAACACGTTCATAAATAAGAACAGTTGACATGTAACGGCTCGAAAGCGAGAATATCATATTGGGGGCCAGAAAAAATACAGGTAAAATCCTGGCATTGCGATCGTATGTACATGTATTTTATTACTTCGTCAAATTTGCTGAAGTGACAGACTTAAGGTCACCAACATTTGTGTGGTAATCACGGCAACTCCTGTGTGGACAGTTTTCATTATTCAGTATCCCGACAACCCCTGTGTGGACAGTTTTCATTATACAGTATCCCGACAACTCCTGTGTGAACAGTTTTCATTGTACAGTATCCCGACAACTCCTGTGTGGACAGTTTTCATTGTACAGTATCCCGACAACTCCTGTGTGGACAGTTTTCATTGTACAGTATCCCGACAACTCCTGTGTGGACAGTTTTCATTGTACAGTATCCCGACAACCCCTGTGTGGACAGTTTTCATTGTACAGTATCCCGACAACTCCTGTGTGGACAGTTTCCATTGTACAGTATCCCGACAACTCCTGTGTGGACAGTTTTCATTGTACAGTAACCCGAAAACCCCTGTGTGGACAGTTTTCATTATTCAGTATCCCGACAACCCCTGTGTGGACAGTTTTCATTATACAGTATCCCGACAACTCCTGTGTGAACAGTTTTCATTGTACAGTATCCCGACAACTCCTGTGTGGACAGTTTTCATTATACAGTATCCCGACAACCCCTGTGTGGACAGTTTTCATTGTACAGTATCCCGGCAACCCCTGTGTGGACAGTTTTCATTGTACAGTATCCCGGCAACCCCTGTGTGGACAGTTTTCATTGTACAGTATGGACAGTTTTCATTGTACAGTATCCCGGTAACTCCTGTGTGGACAGTTTTCATTGTACAGTATCCCGGCAACCCCTGTGTGGACAGTTTTCATTGTACAGTATCCCGACAACTCCTGTGTGGACAGTTTTCATTGTACAGTATCCCGGCAACTCCTGTGTGGACAGTTTTCATTGTACAGTATCCCGACAACTCCTGTGTGGACAGTTTTCAGTGTACAGTATCCCGACAACTCTTGTGTGGACAGTTTTCATTGTACAGTATCCCGACAACTCTTGTGTGGACAGTTTTCATTGTACAGTAACCCGAAAACTCTTGTGCGGACAGTGTTCATTATACAGTATCCCGACAACTCCTGTGTGGACAGTTTTATTGTACAATAATATTACTGAGATATGCACTATAAAACGAGACAGTCAACTTTAGGTTGAAGGAAGTCATATCACAGATTCGTAAAATATGACATACATTGTCTGCTTATTAATGAATATCTTGTGGTTTTTAGAAGGAATTAATGTTGAATAGTACCCTAAAGATGAATGAGGTAATAGCGACCAGCCGGATCAAGACCGCTTCACGGAAATCACTACTTCTAGTGAAGCACATATTTTGTTGATGAATGAGAAACTTATTCGGACAGTAAAGGAAGACTTAACGAGTGCATCGCCGTGCCTTATTGTATCACACAGGCGACACTGTGGTAGTGTAGGGACGTCAATGAGGGCCGGAAAGGACCGACTTTGTATAAGTCCAACAGTATCAAATAGACAATTTTTCTAGACCGATCAGAAGGGACGATATAAGTGAACTAGGTTTTCAGTATAAAACTATCCGTACGGCAGATGATGATGCATGCTCGGACACCGGAGATCGTACAACTAAGGAGTCCGTACCAATCGAGGTTTCCTGACTCTGTAACTAGGAATGATGTGACTTTACATTCAACATAAACTTTTGTATCACGTTGCACATTGCACTCCTAACTTCCGGTCCAAGAAGTTCCAGTTCGGTATCATCCTTATTTTTAGATTAGGTTTTATCAATAACTGTATTTCTCTCCACACTTGGTTTCACTTGTGTAAGTCTGTTAAAATGTTTTGGAGATTGTTTTGAAGGACATTTGTAAGCTCTAAGGCATAGAGTTTCGTGGCAACCATACATGACAAATCGAAATTCTTATCATATAAGAAGTTGCACCAGTTGAGAATACACATATGCACGTGACGTCCTTTCAGTATTGCCCAATGTCCCAGATTTGGCAAATAGATAAAGTTTACTGCTGTAGTTCAGTTTTTTTTTGTTTTTTTTTTAATAACTTTTGATTTCTAGATCCACACTTTTGGTCCCTGTATGAACAGCTCTATGCGGGTGTTAGATCACGACTTCCATTTATCTGAATCAAAGATATTTTACAGAATACATAGAATCTTTACATCCTTTAAACTGGTCAACGAGACGGTGCATATACCGATAAAACATAAAGACGGCTACAAACAAGAAGGCGGTTCTCCTAATGTCGAAGATGACAAAATATATACACACTCATTTTCCGATTTGTTCTCACTCCGTTTGAAGTAATACCATTGTGACGTATATTTATTTCCGAGCGTAAATATATATATAATAACAAAGTAATAATTCCCTTGTTGTCTCTCTTTCTCTCCTTTCCGTCTCTCCTCGGGTCCCCTGTACTCCTATCTCATTAACCTTTGAACCCTTCATCTTCGCCATCACAGAGCGATTGGTATTTCTGTCATCACAGAGTAAAGGATATTTCTATCACTGAGTGAGGGATATTTCTGTCATCACTGAGTGAGGGATATTTCTATCATCACATAGTGAGGGATATTTCTATCATCACTGAGTGAGGGATATTTCTATCATCACTGAGTGAAGGATATTTCTGTCATCATTGAGTGAGGGATATTTCTATCATCACATAGTGAGGGATAGTTCTGTGATCACATAGTGAGGGATAGTTCTGTCATCACTGAGTGAAGGATATTTCTGTCATCAGAGTTAGGGATATTTCTGTCATCACAGAGTGAGGGATATTTCTGTCATCACAGAGTGAGGGATATTTTTGTCATCACAGAGTGAGGGATATTTCTGTCATCACAGAGTGAGGGATATTTCTGTCATCACAGAGTTAGGGATATTTCTGTCATCACAGAGTGAGGGATATTTCTGTCATCACAGAGTGAGAGATATTTCTGTCATCACAGAGTTAGGGATATTTCTGTCATCACAGAATGATTGATGTCATCTCTTTAGAAAAGAATCCGCTTTTGATAGGGTATTTAATCCTCTCGTTCACACACTGGTCACAATATGTGTTTTTTTATATATGAACATATAAATCCCTTTCGTTGAAAGTAGACTATTCCCTGTTTATCATTCATCATCTTTAAACTCATTTCTCTTTAACACAGGAACATTAATGCGATTTTCCTTTCTAAGTCATAGATTATGTATTGCTTCCACACTGTATGACCTCTCACTGACTTGAGCTAAAAGACGGCATCAACACACGTATATGACATGGAATGACGAAAACTCTTTCTTTTTAGATTTATTTATCAAGGAATACATATTCATGGATGTATTGTTTTATTTGTTTTATATAATAAATAGATAAATAATGATAATTTTTGAGGTGAAAAAATACAATTATTTCCTTTCCTCATTATGTAAAGTTGTGCATGATTTGGTACATAATCAGTGTATATTTTGGTATGAAAAGTTTATGTTGTTTTACGAAATGCACCTGTTTTGTTAATAAATGCGGTATTTATATACATTTACAAATTTAGAACATATCGTGTTTATGTATAATTGTTCATTTTTCCTACGTCTCGACCACTAACACCGCATACACATAATTATCTCACAGTCAATCTTGTTGATTTAAACAAAGGGACAAAGATTTGAATGAACCGAATGAGTACTTTGTGGTGTTACAACATAGCTGTCGCGAGTCTTAAAGTGGCTGTCTGATTTTAACAGACATATATGTACCATAGACACAGCGGGGAACTTACCATTGGCATTGATGAATATGTAGTCTGGTTCAGATTCAGAACCAAATCTCTCTCTCTAATCGCTTTTGTAATGGTAACATCTTGGTATCTTCAGTGGCTATATGTGAATTTAGAGTTACTTTAATCCTGTGTTTTAGGAAGGCATTATACAGAAATACAAGTGAACTGTAGATTATAGACGAAAATTATTTTTTCGCGGTTTTAACAAAACAGTGAAGGAAGGTTTTTGCGGTAGATTCATTAAAAAGTTTATTGGTTACGCTATAAATTCTATTTTCAAGTTTATTGTTTTCGCAATTACATTTTATCCTCGAAAAGAACTAAAATATAATCACTGAAAAAAACATTTTAGTTCTAGTTCCAGAAATTCTATTCTTAACATTATTTTTGACTTGTTGGTTTTAGTGGCACTAACAAGCATTTTATAATGCCTATAATTAATGCATCAAAAGATTAACATATATCTTTTAACGCATGTGAGTTTAAACGAATTTTAGGTCGTTAAGTAGATAAATTATATTTTCCGACTCCAAGAGCTTTATGATATTGTACTAAACCTGAAAATAGCAATCGCGAGATCAACAGTCATTATCATTATGGAGACCGAATAATAGTTAAAATAGGTTATATAGATGAGTCCTAACTAGTGGTTAGCAATGATCTCGTGACAGCCGCTCCAGCAGCCATGCTACTATCATATTACCAGAGCAGTCGGTGTGAATACTGAATTGATGTAGATTTAATTTTACACTGTGCCCAGCCCACACGCGATATGGTGAGTACTCAAATATATATAATACTGTCATCCTGTTGCACTTATTCGTAAGGTCCTTAAACAACACTGCCTCATTTATTGTTATACTGATCTACGATTCCGTTAACCACGAGCAGGTGACGAGGGGTCCTGTTGGTACAGTATTGCAGGAGAGATGGCGGATAGTCTGCTTGTGTTGTTTGTCTATGGAGCTTTACTGCAGCCTGTTCTGGGTAAGTAAAATCTTGTCTCAGGAATATTGTGGAAAAAGGTCTCTGTCGATATATATGAGGGCTTTTAGTTCTGTGTTTTGGTGTTACTTTTTTCCTGTATATAATATTCCAATATTCGTGTCACACTTATAGTGTTCATGTCTTTGTTCGCAAAGTGTAAACAACCTCTCAACATTAACTTGATCAGAAGAACGAAACATAAACAAAACGTGTACGGAGAGCAACCATGTTGCATCTGACTTGTAAATAAATTCTGGAAACTGAAAACCAATACCAATAAAATGACCATATATGGTTTCATCGCTTAATTGTAGGAAGATTTAGAACGTCATAAATATATAGGTACAATTTAGACATGTGATAATGGAATGTGATGGCTACACACCATATATACATTTAGTGAGAGGGCTTTCATACTTATTGCCAGTTGTCCAATTTACAAATGTATTTGATAAAAGATTTTGAAATCAAATATCGCCTATGATCTCTTCTGAAGATGTACACAAGATAAGTCATGAGATATAAAGACGTATGATAATCAGGTATCAAGTCATCACATCACATGTTTTATTAATCGACATTTTTAATCAATAATGAAAAAATTGATACTTTGAAATACAGACTAATTTATGTCCGTTATACTGTTAGGTATATATAAGGGTATAACGAAGACATATTAATCAATTTTGGCCTAATATTTCTAATTCACAACATCTGTACGAAACATTTGTGCCTGCATATGACAACCAAAACGTACAATGATAATTCTTCTTGGGAAACACGTTCATTTATAATTCTAGAAATATGATTTAAAAAGAATAGTTATTGAAGACTGATAACTGAAATTGAAAATGTTATAATGATATAACCCAAAATATCCCCAGGATGTCACATGACTTATTCGAGTAACTAACACTGGCCAGTCAGTAGTTCTGTGGACACAAGACCGCTTGCATAATAATGAATTATTATAATACTTTAGATAATTGACAAAATCCATCAACAGAAGTAATGAATATCATCTCATAAGTACAAAACCACATAAAAATTCATAAAGTTTTAAATCAGTTATTCAGATTAGTAGTTTTTGTTGAGATCCTTCGAACACACAGTTTGATTCACTTTGTCAGCCATTGAAGTTCTAGAGACTAGTGAACCAACTTTTTTTATTGATGTGAATGCAAATTAACATTTTCCAACAAAAACTGAAGATAAAATAGCAGTTTTTCAATCAGGTTTTTATTTTCCGTTGTAGCTGTAACATTGAAATGTTTTCGTATCAAAACATGAGAGTATGAATAACCAAACGACAGGAAACCACAAAAACCCACTGCAGCTGGTATTAAAATGTCTTGTGTATAGACTAAAGTTAAAAGTTAAGGCTCAGCTGATAAGTATATTTATAAACATTACCATCACATAGCAACAGACTGGAGATAGGCAAAACGCCAGATTTTAGTGAGGTTTTCACGTGTGTGTGTGTGTTTGTGTCTCATCACACAGTTGTTAAATGCTTGTGAACTATGCCCATTACATTGTGGTCATAGTGATTGACATTTCGTCAAGGTCACCAAGTCTGTTACGCTTAATGAATGACTTTGAACAATTTTAAAACTCCAGATGTCTACATTAAGTATAAAATGATATATTATAATATCATGTTGGTTAAATAAAGGAAAACAGTTTTATACTCGAATGACGTAACGTGGTTTTTTCTGACATAAAGATCTAAATGCGTGTAGTTTTATTAGTTCATGGGTTTAGCTGACAGAGCTTTCGATGGAAGATCTGTAGACATTTCCTACGTAATGCCGAGTATCAGTGTGAGTGAGGCACTTCCGCTTGGTAACGAGTGGTATATATAGACCAAAATCCTACAAGCTAACAATACTTCATCATGACACCTCTAGTTGCATTTATACTAATAATCAAATTAGAATATTTTCAGATCATTTACAACATGAAACTATATATATTTCAGTCAAGATGTGACAGGGTATACTCATATGAACTTTTAGTAGCAGGAAAGTTAATTTTTATCGTCTTGAATGAAGTATACCTCCTCCCAGTCTGATAACATTAGGTTTCGTCGTGCCTGATTCTATACGATGCCGTAACTCTAGAAGCATTGTTACACATTTTGCTATAGAGGGCATTAGTGTGCTTATCATCGCTACCTAGAAGTGGTTAATCGTAGACATACGTTCTGGAGATTTACAAAAAAAACACAAATGAAAAGTACCATTTAATTAAAGTTTGGATAAGACACAGTAGTGCCAAACAATGAATAAAACTGAATCCTACAGCTGTTTCGTCCTTCTAGGACTCGTCAGTGAAGATATAGTGAATGATAAATCTATGACGACGGGGGAAAACACAAAAAAGGTCACAATTTATATTGGTATTTGCAATAGTCCTTTAATTCAGGAAATTTTGTAATTTTCAAATATGTAATAAATATAGTACAAAGTAAATGACGTGTATATTCTGAACCATGCTACTATTCGAACGAAAACCTAAATGTTTAATACTGTACAATGTATATATCCTTAAAGATTGTACATGGCACAACAGTGAATATGTGTTCATAGTTCTGTGGATTGTAACTGTAACTGTTAACTAAATGGTGAATATGTTAGACATGTGCATATTTCCTGGAAATACTCTAAAATGTTTGATCTACCTGTAGATATATAAGGATATGTCTTTTTTTTTGTGAATGATTCATAAAGACAGTCATTAGCACGTGGGAAACTTTTGTTAATTCATTTCAAATAGAGCAATAAAATGTTTATTCTAAAAACTTCATAACTGACAAAATATAGATTATGTTATCTTTAGTGTAATGGTGTATGCTAAATAACGTAAAGAATTCTTCACACATATCCACACCCACACCACCTATCACCTCACACACACACACACACACACACCATCACACACACATAGACACACACACACACAATCACACACACATAGACACACACACAAACTCACACACACATAGACACACATACACACAAACTCTCTCACACACACACACACACACACACACACACACCATCACACACACATAGACACACACACACACACACACACACATCAATATATATATATATATGTATAGTACTGGATCCTAACCAACAAATGTCCGGTGGATGTAAATTGCTGGAATAGATATATGATCAATGAACGACAGTACGGAAAAGTGAACTGTCATATTTGATATGAAATAATATGCCCAGTTAATATATAAAAACACGAATATTACATAACTTACATCACTTATATGCAATTTATCATTTTTTATATTTAATATAAAAGTAAAAAATATATCTCATATCTATCTTACATGATCTAACCCATTTGTCAAGTATCTCAATGTAAGTTTGTAGAAGTTCCACATAAGTCCTGGCCACACCCGAGGCAATATCAGTTCAGTTTCCAGGGTACTAATCATCATACCTTACTTCAAAGGAAAAAAACATGATTATTAAATATCCATTTTTGAGATTTGCTATTTCATAATCCTCATTTTCATTATTGTACATTGTATTTAGCAAAATGATAATACACCTTACACATAATCATGTTATTGAATTATGCATTACATAATTATATATCTGGAAAGAACATCTTTATCGATTCGTTAGATAATGTAATGTGGATACATGATAATTCAGTTTCAAATTCAATTTTACGTACCGAAACTAATTTTCAAGAACGATAAGAAAATTTTTAATGAATACCCACTTGTAAATACGAAAGACGGAGATGTTCTCAGGAAAATCAATCTCTGAAATGCTATCAACAACAAGGTGCTAGTCAGCCACAAATGCGTGCAGATAAATGATAAGGTATCGTTTTTTACATCAATTACTACGGCAGCTGATGTGTATGGCACGCGTACAGCTGAGAACGCATAGAGAATATATGTATGTTCTTGGTACATCCAATAACACCTTCTATCTTAGGTTTTATAAAGCTGCTTAGGAGAGATAATGTGAATATTAAAGGGAAAGGATCACTTGTAATTTGATAATCAATTATATATTCCAGTTTTCATGAAACCGATGTAAATGATAATTTCTATCAATATTCTAGAATGATATTATTTTCACCTCATTGTTGTGTAAAACCTTTCAATTTAATTGAGTATAACAAATTCGAGTATAACAAATTCGAAATCTAGCATTATACGATATGTATTAAGACAATACCCTGATGCACTCTTGGTGCTTCAGTGTTTAGAATCACAAAAATATTTATTAATCAACTTCCATAGATATATAAGAGTTCTATTTCTAAATATACCTTGTAAAACTTCAATTAAAACATTTGCGAAACAGATATTTGAAAACTGGCTGGCTAGGCAATCAGTCAAATTATAACCATCTGTTTGCTGCTTCAGATAACAATTTTGGCTTAAGGTTCAACAAATCACCCGCTGTCTTCAACGTCAGTCAGTATCATTTTTCTTCCGGACGTCAATTTTAAGTATGAAGAATGCTTTACCGAACTGGTTTTATTTCTTTTCTATCTCTTTGCATCATCATTTGACTCCAGATAAGATTCATTTTCCGTTTTTCTTTGTTGTTAAATTGCAGGTGTCGACAGTGTACCTTTGCGCGGAATAGGAACGTATCATAATCATGCCGCAGTTTGGAAGGATGCGAGGAAACTATGTCGGAATAGAGGCGGGAAACTTTTAACTATTGAAGACATTGATAATTGGGACAAAGTAGTCGACCAATTAAACGTCACAAATACGGGACCATTTATATGGGTCGGCGGACGGGAAATCAAAGACGCTTGGATATGGTCACATGGTAAGTTTATTGTGTGATCTACCACAATGCTATATAATACGTTTCAATAAGTGGTATCTGTTTAGGGACCTTTCGCAAACACAACCTATAAAAGCATACTATGATATATTAAGCCCTTTTGTAATTTCCGTTTGAAATCTACACAAATGTTTTAAAATATAAATATGCGTTTTCCTCAGAAAGTGAACTAAAACCCGCTTCCCTATAAAACTCTGTATCATCAATCATATTCAGTAAAACGAAAGTAATCTCCCTTGGAAGATATAGTCTTGGCCTGGATTTAGCGTACCTGTACTGTAGGTGCTAGTGGTCATTTAGTGGGTTGTCTTTGAATAGAATATATTCAGATGTTTTAATTCATAAATGACACCTGAATCATTGCACAGTGTCTATGGACATTATTGTTACTTTCGATAGGAAATCGATCCGAAGCGGTTCGCAGCGTTTTTTAAAAGTGAAATATGTTAATGATTTTGTTTCAAGACGGTCAAATACACTTTAACCAACACCTATTCATTGTTTTTCGCTATCGAAGTACATTGCGTTATTTTTTTTTTAATAAGGAATTCTTGATACATTTATCTTGGATCAAATCCACGTCTACTTAAGACACGAGGAGTATTATTTCGTCTATCTGTTTATGCGGTGGACATAAACGGTGTTGCTAAATGACCAGGAAACGGCACCACTGATATAAACTTTGAATTAGATTTCATATTCACAGATTTATCAAAACAAAAAAAAATCATAAAAGTCTTACAATGCACGCTTTATATATAGTCGCGGATTAATTATGATATGTAGGTTGGCATCAAATTGAATCCAATTCAGCAAAACAACTAACAAAATAAGGCGTGTGGTAAGTAAACCAGGATATTACTTAACACAAGGATGATCCTTGTACTACGCCGTCCATTAATGGTCGTGGGAACACAGACCCGTGCCTTCAGAACAACCTCCAATTGTAATGATGGCCACTTGACTTGATTCTCATCTCGTTTGCAAAACAACTTTTCCGTCGCCATGGTTGTTTCCCGTCACAAACACCATAAATAGATAGGTCATTTGTAACTAAGATTGACTAATACGGATATCACAGGAAATTAAACAAGAGGAGCCAAATATTGTCATCACTAATAGCTTATTGTCTACAATTGTCATTTTAAACAGGCTAACACGCCAAACTTCATCAGCATATAAAATGAACATTTAGGAATATATCAAACGATAGTTAAAACAAATTCCGTTTTGTTCATCTCCTCCTATGCAATCCATAACCCATACATTTGATATAGGTGTATTTATACAATGTAGACCCGTCACCAGGTTCCAATTATGTGGTACTGATCACAATGTGTATAAACGTATTTAGGGTATACTTAGATTTAATTGTTAAAACAATGATGATTTCAGTATACCGGCCGCACTTGTATGGTATATATATGAATCACGTGGATCACGAGGTTTCATTAATGTTCCCATTAAAGCTGGAAATATATGACATTTGATTCCTATGTATTACATTCCTCTGAATCATGCGATTAATTGATAATCATCACGATGTGTCTTCTTGTGTTATGTTATATTACCTATTCCTACCAATCCCCCTTCTTCATCCTGTTCTGGTTCTCACTTTGAGAATATCATGTTATTTTAAATTATATATTAAATTTTAATGTAAAGACGAAGATGATCCTTACGAAATAAGGTAAATTTTCTGTGCATGAAAACTTTTCTTAATTAAAGATCACATAAGTGCTGTTTCTTTTCTATTCTGAAATTTTCATATTTTGATTTCTTTTCAATTACGCAGAAAATTGAAGTAATCAATACGTTGACGGAACTCGTCTACAAAGACAAATTAACCACATGTTACCTGAAACAACGTGTAACATATTTAAGAAGACCATGCTATAAAAGCTATGAATAGTCTGTAGCCTCAAACAGCGTTGCCCGTTGTCCCAGTTGTAACACTTTTGAATTGTTCAACACAAAGTATCTGAATGCTGCAATTTTCAAGTTAATTGAATGAAAATTTGTTGTTTATGATACAAATGTTTTCTTTATTGTTCAGATTTATCCGTACTACAGACGGCTCCTCTGGGTTGTTTCACAGAAAAGTTTACTTACTCTAATACCTTTATCAACAATCAACCCACCTTGTGTACAAGTTTCTGTAGACACAGCATGACCATGCAATATGCTGCTTTAAAGGTACGTGACACTATCAAAATGTTCCTCTAAAAAGTTTTTAAAATCTTAAATGAAATCGATCTAGGAGAAATTAAATTATAATATTTGCAGCTTTTCCAAGGATTTGTATTATGTTTTTTTAATTTCCATTAATTGTGTGACAACTTCACGTTATATCTCTCTACTAATCTTGATTACTGCTTCCTTTATCTTGTTTTCCACTTATGATGTATAATGTTCTCGATACAGTCTCATATTTCACTTTTGTCAATATGTTTTGTGATCACACTCATTACATCATATCTTCATCGAGTAACATCTAAATCAGATATTCTATAAAAAGGAAATATATTTTCATAAATGTTTGTTTAAGAGGATTATTAATACCAAGCAATATCTACTTATCTGTCAAGTCATGTACACCATAATTACATTTAACATTACCATTTGGTAGGGGTCTGAGTGTTTTTGTCTCCGAGAAGAGACGTCGTTTAAGTCTGTATTAGAAGCCAATTGTAACACAGCCTGCCCCGGAAATAGGCACCAGGTCTGTGGAGGCGATAGCAGCGTCACTGTCTACAACACTGAAGGTGAGCACGGGCTCGTGAGAGCGGCTCGTGTCATATAGCTCTCATTGCAACAACACCTTATCTTAAAAAGAACAAACAGGTCAGATAACAATTAAAAGTTAAGTATTTGGTTTTACCAGATGCAAGTTTAAGATATAGCCAGTTACAAACAGCTTTTACGACAGAAGTTAAAGCTGAAGTTTATGTCAACTAATATATAAAACCACTGTTTTAGTAGGTTATCTTCACGGGTCAAAATTGTCGCCATTTTGCTGGAAACAATAGAATTATATTTGAACGAATTGAAATTCGGTTAACATCTTATAAACACGTATGTCATTATTTCGTGGATGAAATATTCTTGATCACCTTAATGTACATAGGAATAGCAAAAATGTTATCCCCGCGAAAATCACAGACTTTACGGTAGGTTCAAATCTGTCAATTATTAGCACGATAATAGAAGAAGTATTAAATGAACAACTTATCTTCTTCCAAGTGAATTCGGAAATTTCGTTATTCTGTCATTAAGTCAATGTGTTTCTTCATTTATTGACTGTGTTTTTTATTGATGGATACTAACTCGATATAGACTAATATCATTACTTATATTTTCCATAGTAATCTGGTAATCTCACCACTATAATAGCAAATTGTTTAAAATTACTTTGCGAATGTTATGGTAGTGAATAACTCCTGTACATAACTACCTTATGCAGTTGTCACATTTAAATGTAGTATTCCTCATCGAAACTAGGGGCGAAAAGTGTGGAATTCCAGAAAGTAAAAAATCGATATCGGTCTATTTCTGGAAATATACATAATGTAGTAAGCATTTATGTTAAACTGATACAACCATATTAACCGGATGTGTTACTGTGTATGTAGGTTCCCTAGGATGGCACATGCATAAACCGGATGCTGAACAAACACGACAGGACTGTGGGCAGATAATGAGGATTACCAACAATGAAACGATGTGGTATTCTGGAAACTGTACACAAAGACACAAATACGTGTGTAAAATAGGTAGGTTCTGGTTGACATCGGTCACAATAGCTTTACTATCTTATAGCTTTCTTATCATGATGAACCTATGGACAGTTTTTATAGCAGACATTCGTCTTATCACGGAAACGATACCATTTTAATGTTCATGGTTTATGCGATATTGAAATAAAACAGTGTAATTGACTATATCTGGTAAAACCTTTAATCGGTTCTCAATGTATCAGACTCAATATGCTGGAGAACAATACATGTTTTATTTTACCACTCTCTCCTTTAATTTTATTCAGTGAATCATGCGACTTTTTATCAATCAAATGTAATCATATTTTTATATGTCAAGAAACAAAATTGTTCTGTTTTCAGTAAACAATCCCGCTATATGTACCTTTTACAAAAGAGCAATTCCTTGTTATTATGCATCCGAGGACGCACAAACCTGGTTTGAAGCAGGTAAAAAATGTAAGCAGATGGGAGGTCATCTCGCAGACAGAGCTGTTGAAAACGAGGACGAAGACAGCCTTCTAAATTATCACTCGTTTTATTGGACGGGTCTTACACGGCTCATACAGACATGGATCGGTGGAAGTGAGTATTACTCCCAGTATATTTAACTTGTCGCAATGAAAGTGCAGCCTATTTGCACTAGTTGTCAAAGTAGCGCAACATTGAACTATATACTGTTTGATATTTGTTGTTATTTGTGATTATAATTAACAGGGAAAGCAGCGACATACATTTATATCAAAAGAGTTTTTTTTATCCACATATTTTGTACATGTCGAACAAGTGTCAATCCTTAAAAAGCAATCGTATCGGCATCAGATTGTTCATTACTGGGCTCTGCTGTACATAATTGTATTGAAATGTGCAAATCACGTGTGTGTCTTTTGTACAATCCTCTAATTACGGTAAACAAAGATGGCACATGTTGTCTAATTATGAATGGTTTAAACGGCTATTACAAGCAGTTAATATGTCTTACTCAGTATAAAACTCAGTAAACATTTGTAAATCTCAACCCAATCGAGTGTAATATGCGATATTATGGAACAATCTGGTCTTGAGGATGTTTGAATTGAATGTACTACCAATACAAATGATCACATCCTCAGTTTATATAGATATACTGAATCCGTATCAATTCCGGGTCCTGATAGAATGTAAAAAGTAAATTTTTTCTAGTTTTCTTGGAGGAAATTTGAATATTCGTTTCCTTTTCGCAGATAAAGACTTAGTGGATTTTGACCTTCCCCGTTCACTTAGAATTGAGAACAAAACCAAGACATGTTTGGCTCTACAGAGAAGTGAAGAGGACGATTCCTGGTCTCTGGGCAGTGTGTCGTGTAAGGAAGAACTGCCCTACGTCTGCCAAACTTGTAAGTATACCTTAACTTCAAGTGTAATTAGACTTGGGGAAATACATCTTATTTATACTTTCACAAACTGTTTTTATGGTTTTATTAGCGACACACGAGGATATTTAATACATGACCGGATGATGAAATTTGATAAACGACAACCGATCCTGAAATTAGGATGAACACACGAACTCTCACACATCTGTGAGAACTATTCGATATTGGGCCTATATAATTAGATCAATATAAGAAAAAAACAAGTATAATGAATTCAAAATAAATACCATGCGCAAACCTATAACAAATATGTTTTAGTTGTTTATAAAGTTGTTTTCGTCGTCTTGTCAGCGTTTCAGATAAACCATTGCCATATTGTTAGATGTAATCCACATGTTCATATAAAGAGCCCATGTACCATACAAAGTCTGAATGTCATGATTACAGATATAGACTTCTTTAGACAGGTTAATCATTACTTAATCTTCATAAATAATCGGAAAACAACAATTTCAAAATACAGATCGATGGTTTTGAAATATTAGACATTCCATGGCAGTTCGAGACAGAAAAAAAGTTTATTGGCGTTTGTTTTACAGCGGGAACTATCCCCGAGTCCAATGAATATACATACCGAAACGACCAGGACATGGAACTGCCTAGAGCCGAAATAGAACCGGATGACCATTGGTTCGGTTAGTTCATCAAAGAAATAACTTACTTATACATTTAGGGAGTAATCGAAAATGTGGCGAAACAAAATAAATAATAAAACAGGACAAAATCCTTAGCCAAATAATTTTTATTTTCTAAATATAGATTTTTGTTTGGTTTTTTTTATTGTAATTTTTACATTAATTCATTTATTTTACTTTTTAACAAACCAAGTGTTTTTATCTTTACAGTCATATTCTACATAGTTATACCTTCGGCGGCAGGCACTTTCATGGTCATTATTCTGATAATTATCATCTGTAGTGTTCGAAGAAGGTAAGCATTGTTATCAGGCACCTCGTCTTAAACTTTAAAAATACATTTCATTTAAATTGTTATAACTTATGACTTTAATTATACGCACCTTACTAAGATCTGGATAGTTACAAGAGTCATTAAACGTATCATAAACAGTCCAACTGAGAGGTTGTTTTTTACTAAAATCATATTTGTGTATTTAAAATTAAGGATTATCAGATGTCACTTTTAACGACAAGCATGACAAGAAAAAGTTTTCTGTTTCAATAAAGTGCACACAGTATACAGTATGCAGGAGATAAATATGCGTTTACTTCCGGAGTCTATAAAATGCTTTTTTATATACATTTTCAATTTGAGCCTGTTATAAGAGTTATAAATCATTTTTTTAAAACCCTCTTCGTACAGCACACAGACTGTTATTCACATTTTGGCCATGTAAGGTATGACCTTTGAAGAACGCAGTAAATAATTATAGACAACCTGAAACAATATAAAGGGCTAATTGTCCACGTATCTCGATGATTAAGGCCTATCGAGACATAAGAATGCATTTTCATTGAGAATATCTATTGGATATAAGTTTTTTCTCAAAATCACGCGCCACGTATTTGATCATTTGTTTTGCAGAAATGCAAAGAAAGCTCAGAGGAAAAAAGAGGAAGAACATTTTTATTTCGTATTGGAAAAGGAAGAAAGCATATATAACACTATAGATGGTCCGGATACAATGAGAGAGACGCCATTCCGAGTAAAACCTGGAACCAAGGATCAACCAAGATCATCTAAAATAACACCAAAACCTGACAATATAGTTACAGACAACACCTACCATCAGTTAGAATTTAAAGGAAGGATGTCGAACGCCTTCAGTAATGGCGTCCTAGTACATCACGTGGACGATTCTACGGACGATAATCCGTATGACGTAGTGAGGTCATCAGAATATGACACTATTGAAAATATCAAACGGAGCTGTTTTACACTGGTGGATAAACCATATGACAAGTGCGGGTCGTTTACAAGGCCAGCACAGGACATCAATTGTAATCAAAACAATTCTCGAAATCCAAAATGATTCACGTCAATTATGTTTAATGCGCAAAACCATCACATTTCGTGTTGGATCGGAAGTATCTTCTCATTATTGTAAGTGTTTATTTATTTGAAATGACAGTGGCTTACATATAAAGTAAGGCGTATTAACAAGTGCAAATCATCGCATCCTTTTTATTTACATTCTTCAGGAAACTGTAGCCCTTAACAAAAATAAGGAGGAAGGGATCACGTGATACACATCAATATCAATCCCTTGTCTCAAGAGATTCGTACTTATCACCATAGGATACTCAAATTGTGATAAAACTTACTGTCATTGTCGATATAATACATGTGGTCATTTTATCACAAGTGGCCCAATTTATGACTCGCTCTCCTCATTCACATTGATTTATGTTGTTGAAATCAATAATGCTTTACCTTAATTCTTTCAATTTACATTCAATTTTCAATTATATCTGCATGAGCTTGGAGCGCTTTTTTTCAAAGAATCGTTTATTTGCTTTTAGTCTGCATTGGTAAGTTGAGTTTGTAAAGTGTAAGTAATGTCTGTGTCGAGAATTCTATACTCATCACAAGTTCTATAACAACACGTTATCACGGCAAACATTAACACGACATGGATCTATGTGTCTGTAGCTGTCAATCCTAATTGTTGTTTATACATGTACAGGAAAATCATTAGATTTTTTATCATGTTTAGGAATTAACTGTCATATTTTATCGTTTCCTAAATCTGACGAAATTCTTGGTAAGTTGACACTGGACGTGTGACTAAATGATATTTATTCATCCAGGAACTGTAGTGTGAATCTGTCAACTTCATTCCTTAATTGCTTTAGAATCATTATAACTTATCGTAGGTAAAATGTCGTTGCTTTAAAAAAAAAATAAACAAAAACGATGCTATTTCGTCGGCACTTGATTTCATGAAAATTAACTAAAAACAAAATTCATGTAAATCTTAAAATGTGAATTTTGAATATATAAAACTGGGTTAGAAATACTCACCGAATGAATGACAATAAAAAAACTTATATCAAATAATTTATGCAATATATTGACCAAACGCGCAATTATTTGTCCCAATGGGTGACCTGAGGATGTAATTTATTACTAGAATCTCCTCCAATTACCTGTCGTATTACTCTTATATTTTAAAGATGTAATAAAATTTTCTTTCATTACCTTGTTTCAAATTATCAGCAAGAACTTGAATCCAAGAATCGAGAAAAGATCATTTTTGTTTCACGTTATATTGCCTATTGGTTAGCTTAAACTTGTATTGTTCAAATATGATTCCGAAACTTATCACCATTAAACATAGCTTTGTTTTATTTTCATAAAATATTGAAACATTTGTGCTACTATTCTTAACAGAAATACTGAACCTGTAATGTTCTGTAAATAGTATTAGTTTTGCTGTTTTGCTTAATTAACATCAATCATTTCTTGTTTTGCTTTGATGTGTATATTTTACTGTTTTATCGTTGATACTCTGTGATCAGATTAAATAGTCTCCTACAGAGCGATAAAACCGATACAGATTTGCTTTCCTCGCTCTATATGTCCTCGTATCGATCTCTGAACAAAGCGTGATAATCTTAGATATAGATGAACTATGATATCGTGACAAACAACTGTTTAAATCTGTCATTGTGGGTGTGTGAGAAGTATGTATGATTGAGAGAAGTGTATGGAGACAAATGATAAACTATCACTAAATGTCAAGAATTTGTTATCGTGAATGTTAATCATCCATGGAGATAGTAAGTGTATACAAAGCTTACGTCTTGTAAAAAACGTTTTCAATAAAATGTGATCAATGTTTAGTAACAAAATCAATATTATCTTGTTGGCTTTTTTTAATATGCGCGATTGTATTATAGTCGAATTTTATCGGGTAATTACTGTACTATAAACCTTTACATCTACACATTTATTGTGAGATATATATTTTATAACATCTACACATACACTGTCAGAACTCTACTGTGTAACATCTACACATACACTGTCAGAACTGTATAACATCTACACATACACTGTCAGAACTCTACTGTATAACATCTACACATACACTGTCAGAACTCTACTGTATAACATCTACACATACACTGTCAGAACTCTACTGTATAACATCTCTACATACACTGTCAGAACACTACTGTATAACATCTACACATACACTGTCAGAACTCTACTGTATAACATCTACACATACACTGTCAGAACTGTATAACATCTACACATACACTGTCAGAACTCTACTGTATAACATCTACACATACACTGTCAGAACTCTACTGTATAACATCTACACATACACTGTCAGAACTCTACTGTATAACATCTACACATACACTGTCAGAACTGTATAACATCTACACATACACTGTCAGAACTGTATAACATCTACACATACACTGTCAGAACTCTACTGTATAACATCTACACATACACTGTCAGAACTGTATAACATCTACACATACACTGTCAGAACTGTATAACATCTACACATACACTGTCAGAACTCTACTGTATAACATCTATACATACACTTTCAGAACACTACTGTATAACATATACACATACACTGTCAGAGCTCTAATGAGTAACATCTAAACATACACTGTCAGAACTGTATAACATCTACACATACACTGAACTCTACTGTGTAACATCTACACATACACTGTACACTGTGAGAAACAGAACTCTACTGTATAACATCTACACATACACTGTCAGAACTCTACTGTGTAACTACACATACACTGTGTATAACATCTACACATACACACTGTCAGAACTGTATAACATCTACACTCTGTCAGAACTGTATAACATCTACACATACACTGTCAGAACTCTACTGTATAACATCTACACATACACTGTCAGAACTCTACTGTATAACATCTACACATACACTCTCAGAACTCCATTGTATAACATCCACACATACACTGTCAGAACTCCATTGTGTAACATTTTAAAGAATTTATTCTATTTCCCCTATTGGGCCCCTGCCTCTCCTGCTAAGAAGGCCAACTTCCTCGTTTTTTTTTTATGCAAAACTGACTCCTATGATTGACAGATTTTCCATCTCCTTGACTCCTCCCATGTCTGGGTATCACCTAACCAACAAGCGTTAAATTATTCCTGTAGTATATCTTTGCTCTGATTTAGGTACTTTTCATGATATGAGGTTTACAGTACAAACATTTTTGTAAGTATATAAGTACTTAATTCCACATGTTTGACATACATAGTTAAAATATATCTAGAGGACTACATGTCTAGATTTTGATATTTCTTTCAATCACTTTAGATTTTTCTTAGTCTCTCAACATTTGTGCCCTACCATCACTGTCCTAGGAGGAAGAAACAACTATATGGCACAGTTTAATCCATCATTTGGCTTTTCTGTACCTAACTCTATGCTTGTATTTAAAGGTGCTATTCACTTCTGTGTCTTTTGATATCCATGTAAGTACACATCAGTAACTGATTCATAACATACAGTTAAAGTCTAATTGTTCCTATCACAAATAACAAGTAGTTGCCTGTACTGAAACCTTGGATCAACATAGATCAACCTACTCCCTGACAACATCTTCCAATTGATGTCACAGTTTTGGTTTTAGAAGGGACAACAATCTGGATATAATATAAAGGTCCAACAATATGTTTCCAGAAAACATCTATGCATATTTCTTCAGAGTTCACATAAATATTGATTACAGGAAATACACACAAGACATTGTTTTTAATCAAAGTTTGTATTTATTTCATATACCATAAATCTTATCACAATTTGAAGGTATAACAGATTTTGGGATAGCTCAGTCAAATTATTGCTTTAAAACAAGTTTGCTGTAATGAGCAAAATGTTCCTAGTTTCAAGGAAATTTTCATTTTATTTTTCAAGCAAAGTTGAACACCAGGTCTACAGCCATCAAATACATTAATCTAAGTTGATTGGTCTCTTTTCCACAATTCAGTATTCCTTTGTTCTGTCTTCGGATTAACACACGTATATTGTAAATCAATATATAATCTTTTATTTTCAAAATTCATGACTATATATTCACCACCAAAATATCTTCGATACATGACATTTGAAATTTTCATTTCCTTATTAATCCATTTCACACAGTTAGGACACTACTATAAACAGTTTTTATTCATGGTACAATTGTAAAGGACATGATAGGAATTACCACATTGTGTGTTATCTCACATTTCCACTCAAAACTTGTACCAGGAAGTTTCCAAACCGCAGATTTCATATCCTTTAAAATAGCTCCTTGTTTGTTTGGATGAATTTGCAAGTCACTGTTGATTTCAAGTATAACTAAGGTGCAGGACAGAAAGAGATCAAACAGTTTAATAAATAGCGTTTCCATCTGCACTCTTCCACAAAAAAGGCTTAACAAGCAAAAACACTTCCTTAAATGCTATCTGTTATAATGATCTCACATGTGAAATGTTTTTTTTTTTTTCAAATAAAATATTTTACAATAGGTCAACAGCCCTAAATCTGATGATATTAACACGTAAACTGTAATAATAGATAAGCAAGAACAATGAATCTTCTTCCAAAATGGACGACTATATTAAAGTAATAGTGTTTAAAGAAAAGTTTAAAAATTCTCAGTTTAGCAGAAAATATGACAAAAATCAAAAAGGCTCTCTTGATTTCAACATTTTGAAAAGAGTCAGCACAATGACTCCACCAAATTTTAAAATAAGTTGAAAATATGATTTTCAAATGGCAGCCATATTGAATTTTGGAATATATTGTATCCAGAAAGTAACAACACCGACCATTCCTGGAAAGCTTCAGCTTCATTCAAAATAGGGAACTTGAGAAATTTAAAATAGGTGCTGTTCTGGAAAACTATTTGCCAATGGCGTGCAATCTTGTTATATGTTTTAATGAGGCCGGAAAATAACAAAACATTGTCTGCATCCTTCTCTTTCAAACTTCTGACATATTTTTAGCTCAAAAGCACTTGTGCAACTGAAGAAGTTTTAAATGATTTTTCAAGAAAGTGGTCATATTGGGTTTTTGACCTATTCAAAAAAAAAAAAAATGAAGACTTGTTCTGGACAAACTGGGGACAATCCAAGTTACTTTTGTGCAAAATCCTACAAATCAGACATGAAAAGAAGCTTAAAATGTTAAAAGTTTATGAACAGCAGACATTGTACAGTGCACAACTACAGACAGAACAAAATCTGTAATGCAGGCCCCATGTACCTCTTGATATAGTGATTTAAATACATTATACACTATGTACAAGTTTAAATAAATCAAAAATATAACAGCAAACATCAGTATTACACTCACAAAACACAAGTATACACACTCAGTAACACAAACTTACCACACTTACAACACACAAGTATACACACTCAGTAACACAAACTTACCACACTTACAACACACAAGTATACACACTCAGTAACACAAACTTACCACACTTACAACACACAAGTATACACACTCAGTAACACAAACTTACCACACTTACAACACATATATACTCACTCTCAATTACACAAGCTGATCACACTCACACCACAGATACATACTCACAGTCAATTACACAAGCTGATCACACTCACAGCACACATACATACTCACACTCAATTACACAAGCTGATCACACTCACAGCACACATACATACTCACACTCAGTAGCATAAGTTCTGCACCAATCTGTCCAACATTTGTAAACACAGCCATATTAACAACTATTACCATACCTTTACTGTTTATATTGTAACTGGTACAAAATCTTTTCTCACCAAATCCCACACATTCACGGCTCCATCCAATATGGGAAATTAACTGATCTTTTTATAACTTTCACAATCATGAATAACTACTGGAAATTGTATATAAAATTCACACCTTTTTCCTACAACATAGATCAACTGATGGACTAAACATTGAAATGTATCAATAACTATACAATGATTTTAATATGTTCACAACACATTCTCTCTCAAAAAAATGAAATGATACGATCATGAGGGAGAACAAATTCCATTACACAACAATTTCCCCCTAACTTCCTAAAGTTGTTAGATAGGTAGGTAATTAAACACTATTTATTTTATTTATATATTGTTTTTATATTGACATCAATATTACATTTTATGTTTGCCCCACAGTTCTGTGAAACAAATCCTTAATTTCTTCATTTTAAACAATTGTTTATTATATATTGCTCTCTTCGATACTTTTATCTTCGTCCATGTCAATCCAATGCTTCATGTTTCCTATATAACTGATACTGTGTCTTTCTTCCTATAGCTTAAATGTTCAATAATGAGTTGAATGAACTTCGTGTAGTGTTCTGGATATCCTCAAAATTTACTAATAAAACTCCTGTGCCGGGTAAATATTAAGGAAAGAAAAGAAATTATTTGAAGATTTGATCATCATTTGGATCAAACAGCAATCAGACAAGAACATTTCTCAGTTTTGATGTACATATATCATATCATGTTGATCTCGCCCATGATATTCACAGGTCTATTCTTGTACTTTGACGAGATTTCTCCTTCCATCTGAAAAGATATAAACAAAAGTTGTGGTTTTTTACACTAAATATGTAACAACATCATTTTCCAAACTCCCATTTTCATTTGTTATTGTCCAATATCAATGGAAGTAAACATTCATTAAACATTTGACGGTACATGTCTCACAGCACAACAAATCATGATGATACACCTCAAGCTGATATATAAGCAAGTTTCTGACATTGATACTAAGTTTTCTTGCGATCGAGTATATTCTAAACAATATTCAACCACCAGAATCATCCAAATAGTTCACTGAATACTGACAGTCATCAACGTGTTCAAAGCTGACATGAACATTTCTATATTTTCCTCTCTGTTCTATAGTTGGACTAGCGTACACTGACCTGTCTCTGCATCTCCTTCGTTTTCTGAATGATGACATCAAGTTTTGGTTCAAGCTGCCTCTGTTCCTCCAAAACCTCTTTCTTTTTCACAATCATTTCCTTCTCGTAAAATACCATCTTGTCTGCCAGTGACAATGTCTGTTTGAGGGAGTCTTTGAGACGTTCCACATACCTGTGACAGAGCCATATTATCGTGAAGATTTCTGCCATCAGGTCTAAGCAAACTTCTCAAAAAATAACTAATAAATTGCATTGAGTTCCTATCATATTCAGATTTAATATCCACACTTTGGATATATATTCCTCAAACTCTGCTGATTTAAGTGCTTTATGTTTGATTTTCCTTCAACACAACCATTAAATGTATGAACTTGTTTATAGATAATATAGACATAGAGCAAATCAAGAAAGACAGGTTTCGCTGACATATATTTACTTATATAGACAGGAAGTGCAATATATTACCTTGGTGAATTCCTTATCAACAGCAGGTGATGCATTTTTACAGAAGTCAGTTGATCAAAGATATCTTTAACCTTGGATGCCATGGTTATGACCTTGCTTTGCTCAACCTGTACCGACGATGGACCATTCTGGAACTGACTAGTGCTGACAATATCTGAGTCACTGCTCCCCTCCATCTCACAGATCCGCTGTGTCAAGAAGGCTTCTAACTGTCAACAGGAAAGAGAAATACTCATTGATCCAAAGCGTGTGGTTCAGATTTCAACATTTAAATCTAACCCTTGAAATCTGCAATGCCAAGAAATATGATTACGGAGTACTCATATGCCAACAAGACCAGCCACTATTCAGACAAATGTTATCATTTGTAAACATTAGACTTTTTCTTAAACAGTTCTGTAACATATTAACAGTTCTGTGACATATAAGTATGAAAACATTATAAAAGTTATCAATCATTTTATGTTCTAAATGTACAGTTGTAAACAAATACAAACCTGAATATTGATAGAACATGATATAAGTGATCAGTTACCTCCATGAGATCATCCATGAACTGTGTACGGGTGGTGGGATTGTCTAATACACTGAGAGCATCTGGTCCCTTAGCCACTCCCACTTCGGATTCATCTGTAAATGAAGAAATTTGTTCACTTTGGCTACCTTCGGTATATGGTATTAAACTCATAGTCACATCCATGTGATGGACAATTTTCCAGTGTCCACGTGGATGTGCAGCTTTGGAATTTTTTTAACTATCTTATTACAATCTGAGGAAAATTAAGATTTTTATTTCATCTGGAGTGTTTTTTCCTGTTTAGATATGTAATGGTAAGAAAGTGGAGTTTGTTTTGGATGAGAAATGCTTGCAAAGAAAGTTCTGTAAGATTTAGTAGATGTCAGCAGCGACATGTTATATAGAGGAATAAAAAACTAGACCCCGTGATGACTGGTGTTAGCTTTTGTATCTGTTCACTGAGCCATCGAGGTTCCCTCTTCTTACTGTTTTTATCTGATCGTATCTACCTGTGCCACATTTCTATGCTGTACATAGCTTGGACTTAGTACTGACCAGTCTCATCAGAGCAATTTTGTAGCAGGTGAATCACTTTTCAGAAACAATACTAAGAAGACAGTTTTGCAAAGTACACTCCCCACCAATACAATGCTTCAACAATGTGAACCCAAATCCCAAGTATGAGGTTCCCATGATCAGGCCCAGATAAACTTTTTCTTCGATGTAGGTCAAAGGTCAAAATGTAGGTCAAAGTGACCTACTTTTGATACACATGGCAATGCCTCACCAAGATGAACCAAATTCTCATAAGTATCAAGTTCTTGTGATTAGTAGTGTGGAAGGCCCTCGAAAACTTGATGATGTAGGTCAAAGTTCAAAATGTAGATCAGATAATTTTATTTTTGATATGTGACACACTGTCTCACCAAGATGAATTATTCTGAAGTATTGATTTTCTGTAATCAATAGTGTAGATAGGGCCTGGGCAAACATTACTCAACTTTTTAACACTATTTATTTTAAAGATTCTTTTCTACGTAATTCCACATAGGGCAGTATTACAGCTGTAAATAACATACATTCAGTTTTATAAATATCAAAATCTAACAGAAATCATTTGTCATCAATGCTATCACAATCAATTTGAAAATTATTAAGTTTTCTACTACTGTTTATTTTGGAAAAAAAACTGTTAAGTGCTTTTCGAGAAAAAAGATTTACAAACACAGCAAGGTTAAATTTCTTTACTGAAATATTACAAAGAGATATAGGCAACACCCCTAATGCCAGCTAGAAAACAAATTTCAATTTATAATATTCTGTATGTTTTTATACATCTATTTCGGTGTTCCACAAGAGCAGAGCCACTCTAGTCAATACCATTACCAACAGGGAGAGCTTACCTTTATCGTGATGTTTCACAATGACAGTGTCACTACAGTTGATATACTTACAGAAGTGGAGAGCTTACCTTTATTTGGATGTTTCACAAGGACAGTGTCACTACAGTTGATATATTTACTGAAGTGGAGGGCTTACCTTTATTTGGGTGTTCCACAAGAACAGTATCGCTCCAGTCAATACCATTGCTGTCACTATCTTGCTCAACTGACACGGTATTCTGATCCTACAAATAAATACAAGCACCGGTTGTTAACTGCCCTTACATCTGTCTTTGTCTGTAATACAGAACTATGTCATGATACACAAATTTGCAATTTTAATCTTTAACTTATTGAGAGTATTTTGTACATGAAAGTTATATTTGTGAAGAAATATCAAAGTGATATTTCAAACATAAATCCTGAAACAAATATCTGTATCTAATTCCATTGAATTATATATTCCTGCAGTAGCACTCAACTGAAATGAGGCTTAGCAAGACCTCAAACCTTGAACCATTAGGAAATGTGTATTATGAGCTCAAACAAGAAGATTGTGAAGTTTGGATACAAATCTGTGTTCTAGGATAACACTTTCCTCATATCATCATACTGGATGATTTTAATGAAGCATGATTACATGGCACAACTACAAAAGTTGAGTATGAGCATGATTTGGTGTCCTGTGTAAACGTCATAATTTGACTACATCATACTGCCAGGCTAACAGGTCTTTATCATCAATGTTTTTAAACTCAATGCAAAACAGAAAGCAGCAAGTCTCATTCAGGAGAAATATCCCATAAATTTCTTACTTTGGCAGATAATAAACACTGAGACCAAAGATATTATAACTTCTGTACAGTCTGATTATCTTCATTCAAATTCAATTAAAACAAAAACAATAAAAGTGTCGTATCAAACTAACTACAGCAAACTTTCTGTGTGTTGTATGTGTCCTTAGGAACCATGAACACTCATTTATTTCTTACTCAAGTCATATTGACGAGAATTACACTAATAAATTGCTGTTAAACCAACAAATAGTGATAAATCAGAAATAAAAGGTTTGTACTATATAGTAATAGTTTGTACCTGGTTCTCAGTCTCTGTTCCTCCCTGTTCTACCGTGATTTCTGAGATGTCGAAATTAATGTCATCACCAAAGTCAATGTCGGCTTCCATGTCAGCCCCGATGTCCCAATCAATCTGTTATAATTTACAGAAATTATTATCAAGATTACAATGGATACCCAATAGTTCACTTGTTCAATATCTTGAAATGCTAAAATTTAAAATCAATGGCATATTAATCTAGATAAGAAAATCATCAAAAGATATGCTTTGTAACTGAATGGGATAAAAATAAGAAAATTCTCTTTCTGATAGGAATACTTCGTGAATGATAAGAGGATATCAAATAGTAGTATGAATGATATATATTTTAATACTCAAACCGACCCAGGATTTTCAGTCTGGGTAGATGAGTATGCAAATTAATTCATTTTATAATTTTAGATTCAAAAATAACATAATTAAATCAAGATGAAAACTTCAATAAAACATGAAGTTTTATCTTCTGACTGAAGTCCAACAATCAAGATTTGAAAAAATCTCAGTAAGACAAAAGAGAAATTACATTTTCAACAGCCTCCGTTTGATCCTGTTCATCCTCAAGATTAATTAAAAAGGCCTTTTCCTCAACTTTCTCTGGTTTGGTGCCAGTCCTCCACTCATATGTTGTCGTGTCACCTCTCTCCTGGATGTATCTTAACATTGGTAAACATGTCTCCTGGTGCTTTTGGCTTCACAAACATAAAATTAGAGGTTAAACTTCCACAGTTACAAAGACAGATTATATTCTTGGTATGATGTCTAAATTAAATAAGTGTGAAATTTTTCAAAATGACTGAATAATTCATCTCAATGGTTTTACTAATTTGAAGATGAAACCTGTACAAAATTAAAGAACTTCTCTTAATCAGTAATTACCAAACATGTATTGTCTCTAAATAACACACTAGGATTTAGAATTGAATTAGAGTTTAATAGAATTAGCTGCACTAAAATCAACAATAGTTCAACAATGAAAAGATATGGTGAGAACAAAACATCCATTTAGTCTTCATCTTATAAACCTTGTAATGAAAACCTTCCTACATGATATATACTGGACAAAATAAGTTAAGGATCATAAATTGTGACCATAATATCTTTAAAAATTCAAATCATGTATTGCCGGTAATTGCACTCGTAGTTTCTCCAATATGTACCTAAAGTCATGTCAAAGGTGAAAGCATGTGCATCTGAAGGTCTTGCCGTTCCGCTCTAGTTAACTATGGTGGTGTGAAAAACTGACTGGTCTATTACTACAGAGGAATCTTGCAGGTTTTGATTCTGTTACTTCTAAGCTAAAAAAAGTTGAATTTGGAAACATTTAATCAACTTGTAACGAAAACTTGAAAAACTAATCATGCGAAGACATTTAAATGATATGGAAGCCGCGCGAGCTATAGGACTCCTTCAAGCTGGTCAAACTCAACGAAATGTGGCGGCACAGCTTCATGTTTCTCAGAGCGTGATTAGTAGGCTATGGAATCGCTATCAACAGACAAATAACGTCCGTCAACGCCCCAGATCTGGACGACCACGCTGTACGACAGCCCGACAGGACAGATTCATTTGCATCACGGCACGACGTCAGCGGTTTTTGAGTGCTCCTGTCTTGAATCTTCAGTTTCAGCGTGCTACAAATCTAAGGATTTCATCCCAGACAATCAGAAACAGACTCCATGCCTCTAATTTACGAGCTAGAAGACCAGCAGTCCGACCAATTTTATCCAGAGGTCATCGACAATCCAGACATCAATGGGCCACTCATCATTTGAATTGGCAATTACGTCATTGGAGAAATGTTATGTTCACAGATGAGTCTAGATTTTTTGTGTTGACTTCCATGACGGTAGGAGGAGGGTATGGAGAACCCAAGGAGAGCGCTATGCAGACTGCTATGTTGTCCAGCATGATCGCTTTGGTGGTGGGTCAGTGATGGTTTGGGCAGGGATCAGTGTTGACTTCCATACAGACCTCTACATCATAGACAATGGATCTTTAACAGCTGTTCGATACAGGGACGAGATTCTACACCCTATAGTAAGGCCCATTGCAGGAGTTGTTTGCCATGATTTTATTCTGATGGATGATAATGCTCGTCCTCACCGTGCTCGTGTGGTCAACGACTATCTTCAACGTGAAGCAATCGTTCGCATGGACTGGCCAAGTCGTTCTCCTGATCTGAACCCTATCGAGCATGCTTGGGACACCTTGCAACGCCGGGTTTCAGCTCGACCTAATCCGCCACAGAACCGCCAACAGCTTATGATTGCTCTGCAAGAGGAATGGCAGCGCATCCCACAGATCAGCCACCGACGACTAATAAGGAGCATGTGCAGACGTTGCAGGGCAGTTATTGATGTCAACGGAGGTCATACTGCCTATTAAACTGCCAATTGCAGTTTGATGAGTTTTCCTTGTCTACATGATTAACTTGCTCTACTTCCTCTTACACTTTGATTTCAAGGGTGCTGTTACTCAGGGTTATCTGCTCTTGGTAGCAATTACCACAAATGAATTTGTTTTGTGTAATTAAAGACTAAAATGAATGTTCTGTCATTAAAATTTAAAATATAATCATATTATTATTTGAATGTAAAACTGCACTGTTTCAAGTTTATGATCCTTAACTTATTTTGTTCAGTATATATGTCAGTCCTATTTGGGTAAGGTCATACCAGCCATTTACAGTGAGAATACATTATTTTGATGGCATATTATCTGTATCATTTGTGTACCTGTTCATGACAAAGCTGATAAAATCTCCATAAAACTTTACAGCTTCCTGTAAATCCTTTGTTGAATCTGCGATTTTATTGAAAGTCACAGGGAGGTCTTTGACAAGGGCAGATAACTCGGACTTTATTTTATTTCCCTATAAATACAAAGCATTTTGTGAATAAGATTAATTTTGTTTTAGACACATCAATGATAGTTACAGACATACAAAATGTGTAGAGTGTTTGTTTGTTCACTGCTCCTTGAACAGTCAAGATAACTTTGAGCTAGATTTCCCTACAAGTAGCTGAGGATACCTTTCTAACCATATGGCAGACCTATCACATGCCACCAAATAAATATAGGGTGAAGTGTTTCACCAAGAATACAATCATGGCAGTATAGGACAGACACTGATTCCAGCTCTTGAGAAACACAATGGGCTCGAGGAACAGATGGAGTCATGGATAATATGAGCCATTGGTAGTTACTAGTTATAGAGGGATTGTTATCTATACAGACAGGGAATATGTTTAGACAGATGACAGATGTAAACAGCCAGATAAAGACATGTTATCATCACCACAGTTCATCGTTATAGATGGCATGGTTTTTTTTCAAGTGCTGAATGAAAAATTGTACCACAAAAAATAAATTACTTTGTTATCCATGATTTATCTACATTTTAATATGTCTGAACATTTACCACCAAAATAAAAACATGTAAATGACAGGACATTACCTATATATAGCATTTTAAATTTCCAAATCTTAATGGACCACTTTAGATAATCATGTGTCATATATTCTGGGACCCATAGGTAGATTAATTGGTAATTGATCTAAAGTTTTTACCTCAATTCCCATTTCCTTACACCTGGAGTTGTATTTCTTACGTAATTCTGCAGCCTTGGTGATATAATCTGTCTCTTTTTTATCACATTCCTACAACATAACATTGTCTTGTTACATGGTGACATAATCAGTCTCTTTTTTATCACATTCCTACAACATAACATTGTCTTGTTACCTTGGTGACATAATCAGTCTCTTTTTTATCACATTCCTACAACATAACATTGTCTTGTTACCTTGGTGACATAATTAGTCTCTTTTTTATCACATTCCTATAACATAACATTGTCTTGTTACCTTGGTGACATAATTAGTCTCTTTTTTATCACATTCCTACAACATAACATTGTCTTGCTACCTTGGTGATATAATCAGTCTCTTTTTATCACATTCCTACAACATAACATTGTCTTGTTACCTTGGTGACATAATCAGTCTTTTTTTTATCACATTCCTACAACATAACATTGTCTTGTTACCTTGGTGACATAATCAGTCTCTTTTTTATCACATTCCTACAACATAACATTGTCTTGATACAATCTATCTAGTTTACAACGAAATCTTCATACACACTAAACAGAAGGATGAGATTACAGGAATTTTAACTGCACAACATAGTTTTTCAATCAATATGATTATCACTATCAACAGAATAGATTATGTGTAGTTGGAGATTTTTCAACCTATGTTAGATTACGATCAATTAAAGTCATAGATGTTTCTCACCTTTTGTACTTGCTGACACTTTGCAATCTGTTTCTTTAAAGCTGGAACTTCATAATTTACATTCCGTGCAATCATCTGGGCTGTCTCTCCTTAAAAAACCACAGAAATATTTCATATTGCCATGCGTAATGAATTCTACTACAACCAGTATTTACAGTTTACTTCCCAAATGATTGTGTTATTTTCTCTTTTTCTTTCCACTTTTATTTTTAGCACTAGCAGGAGACAGACAACATACCCTGATAGATTTTTATATTTATAGACTGCATTTTTTGCCCAGGCAATAAGTTTACCTTACCTAAATACACTCCATCTTTCTCATACAGCCTGATGATTTCCACCCAATCCTGAAATACATTTAATCCAGTGAATCACCATTTACAGAGGTATAGTCATTTCGAATAGGAACTGGTCACAATACATGTAGCTGTCAATTAATTATGAATTGCTGCCATATGTTTTCATTCTGCTTTTAAAAAATTTCCCTGATTGCCAAAATTTGTGATCTATTGAATGAACCAGGATCCCAAGATCATTATGACTGCAGTTGAATTCTTGTCAATAAAACCATTAAACAGCTTTAATCTAAATGATAAGTATATTTTATATAGAAAGTGTCAGTGTCATGGTTGTTCTAGAAACTGAATAACTATATCTAGCATGATATACTGACCGTACAATGCTCTTCAATACCACACATTCTTACAAAATATAACCCAAATCAACTTACATTTTTTGTTTGTTTGTTTGTTTGGGATAAATTTCATGATTTAATTATATGTGCAATACAAAAAGATCTAATTCATATCTGGTGTGTATATAATAAATTTGACTGACACCGTATGTAAAGCAAACACTAAACACTTCACAACATTCTGATCTACAAATTATTTTTCACTCTACAACTAAATGAAAATTGACAAATTTACCTTCATTTTTTGTGATGAATACTGCCCAAACATATTCTTCTTTCCTGACTCACTGTCCTTAAGTATTGCCACAATTTTAACACAGTGAAAGTAGTTGACATCTACAAGAAATGTTCATGATACATTTCATTCAGTAAAATAAAGTTATTTCTGTCTGATCAAAATATGTCTTTTCATTAACCCTTACATGACAGTTTGAAGCAGATTCACACATCAATTTCCTGAGCCCAATACAGTACATGTGTGCTTATACTCTTATATGAATTCTTCAATTTAAAAAAGAGACATTTACATTACTATTCAAGTCTGGCTTTATCTGATGTTCCTTTGTCCCACGCCGCATGTAAATCAGTTCTTGTTAAAAAAGAGTACTATTTCTCAGTATTGATGTCACTTTAAACCTTTTATCAATTTGTTACTTTAATTAACTGATTAAAAGTATATTATTTTACATGTTCCTTCCAGAAGCTGTGTAATTTCCTCTAATGCTGGCATGTCCTGTATTGCCTGATTAATCTTTTTTCTGATGATGACCATGCAGGTGTGCCATTCCTTGTCACAATGTCGACGATTGATAAGCCAATCTGCCAGAAGTAGAAAAGAAAAATTTTACAATATACTCATATAGCTATACACATGTATCCATGAAATGCAAACATATATTCTATTACATTCTTTCACTATTCCCCTTCAAATAATACAGCTATTGATTTCTAAATTTTAATTAGTTCAGATTCTATTTAGATTACATACAGCTGGATAATTTATTAACTTAAGATGCAGTTATATCTCATTATTATACTATGTAATAGATAATGTACTGAAAGATAGCTACACAGTGCAGCAGAACTGGGATTGTCCAATTACTGGTGACCAGACAACTCCTTAATTAGTTAAAGAATCAATGCATCTTACTATATAACAGAGTTTCCAGGTGCCAAGCATTGCTTGACCATTGTATTTTTCCTTTATTGTAATTCTGATGGGACAAATTCTGAAACAGAATCTTAATGCATCTGATATATTTACCTAGTAATTTGTTGAAATGTATATCAATTGGAATATTTTCAGCAGCAGAAGTTTGATTTTGTGAAGATGCCATTTTTGTAAACCCAAGTTGTTTTCTGAAATGATACATGTTTTAAAAATGTAAATAATTAACTGACATAAAACATTAATCATACACAATGAAGCTATCAATAATCACTATTATTTACATGATGGTTTCCAATGCCACATAAAATATTTGATATTGTATAGATAGCTTGTCTTGAGGAAACATTTTAGTATACAAATGCTAGCTAGCTACTACATGTATATACCATGATGTGAAAGAAAATGAGGATAACAACAATTTTGGGGATTCAGATATTTGTGTCTCCTGGACTCACTCAAATTATCAGACAATCTCCATATCTCTTAGTATTTGGACTCATCAAGATTTAAGAGTTGCATTAGACCCCCTACCTCACCACATCCCCTGGCCCACCCCCAGCCCAACTCCGGCCCAACCCCCAGTGAGTTTCAGACCACAATGGATGAATTATAATCTCTATTGGAACAGTTTGCGAAATAGAAAAATATGATTTTTTTCAAACAATGATAAATTAATCATTTGAAAAAATTACCAAAATGACAACATCTTTAACCTGCCGCTTTGAAAATGGTGCACACATGTGAACAAAAACAGCCATTTTGCACAACAAACTTTTATTTTGAAAAATTTCTCAACGATAGTTCTTTGTGTTATCTGTACACTAAATCTTCGTCATAGCTGGCTAACTTAAGTGTATCTGTGACTTAATGATGACAGACCATTAGTCTCCTATGTGGTAGACTGAAAATTTCTGTCTCTAGGTATAGTTACGACAGTACCATATTGTGTTGGGTAGAATTGAACAGCACCAGACTTTGCCATGCTGTTATTAGTATAACTGATATTGGTGGAGCAATTTCATTTTTCAAGTCAAACCAGAACGAGATGAATACATGCTGGAATCGTAATTAGTGAAGAAAATAAACTTGTTCTATTGTGAAATAATTCCAATACTTATGGGGTATGTTAAGGAAATATTATTTGATTCATCGCACCCAAGGTGGATGCATTTTCTATCGTTTATAGGAACATTTACGTTATGTCTCTAAAATTAACATAATCAGTAAAAATACAAATACGCTTTGAATGTGAATATTGACATTTGATTATCATTATGGAGTCAGAAATTATCCGCCTACCTTTGTGGTATCTGTGGTCATTTCATATCATAGATATTCCGATACAATTATTAACTTTTAGGTTGCAATTCATCGACGTAGCATAGCTCATGAGATATAATTTTGAAGGGGTCCGAAACTAAGGCACACTTAAAAGGTCTAGACCTAATGATATCGCTGCAAACGTCAGGATCCCTGTCAGTCAGAAGGACAGACCGTTTGCTGCGTTTTTAATATACCAGTCTATGTGTGCTATTATTTTTCATTTACCGAAACATGTGAAGCAAAAACAATTATTTGTTGTTAATACTGAGACGTCAAGTTCCAAATTTACCTCTATTTCACCACCAGCTGTTGAATTTTCAACGTGTTGTTTACTAAAATAAATCTACCTTCCGGTTGAAGAGTTCTTACTTAAGGTGCGTTCGAATAAAACTTCGTAGTGATTGCTATGTATTCGGTTTCCGTGAATGTTACACCAGTTTAATATTATCACGTCATTTTTTCGTAATGTCACGCACTGATCAATGGGGACCATTTTAAAGGGAAAATGACTTCAAGTTTGAAGTATTTTAAGATTCGTTTCCATTTATATGTGAAACCATCATTTCCAGCTCGCTAATAAAATAAGGTATATCAGAGACGTATATAACACATATATATGTTATATACGTCTCTGGGTATATTAATCAGACTTGTTGATAAATCACCTTCCAAATGGAGCCTGATGTACAAATTTTGTAAAATCCTATATAATGTACATTCTTAAAAATTCTGTTTTTGAGAAAGATAAAGAAAAAATCAAATGGCGGAAATCTGTCTAAGGTATTTATCTTGAAACCGGCTTTGTCGGAATGCACCTGTCACGTATATTTTACTGTATTCAGGAGATACGAAAAACATTTGTAGTTAAACACCTTCGGTAATTCTACAGAATTACTCTCTGAACTTACTTAAATATTACTTTTAACAATATAGCAACTGTCCGAGCGAAATAAGCGATTGTATATGTTGTGATGAACAAGTTTATTTGTGAATATCCATACATTCATACCCATTGAAGTTTGGAGATATATTTTCGCGCGTGGAAATTATTGTGGTGCACGTCATCAGGCAAAAGTCAACGATACGCCAACGTTAGGTAAATAAAGATTAAATCCTAAAAATGTTAATAATTTTTTTTATGGTCAGATTTTCAATCAATGTTACAGGATAAATAGAATACATGGTCAATGTCTGAAAATATAAACTGCATTTTGGCTCGGAACAGGAAGACAAAATACAAATGTACAGCTTATTTCTTAAGACACCGACTATGTATTCTCTCTATATATACAATGCATATGTGACGCCGCTCAGTGACTTCACAATGAAAACATTGGAAATTTTCAGCCATCATACATTGTATTCTTCATTACGTTTCATATTACATCTGTTGTTGTTGGGGTTTTTTTTAATGTAATTCCCGTCGTTACGCTGTCTAAATTCTGTAGTAACATACACTATACATAGACAATGTAAGGGGTTATTTTTACGAAAACGAGTCAAGGAGATTTGTGATGAGTTTTCTAAATCAATATTAAAACTTCAAAAATCCAAATTACTCAAACAGTGTAAAATTTGTAAAATACGCACGAGACATAAACATTGAAAGATTTTATAATGAAACGAGTCAAAGAGGTTTGTGCCAAGTTCCCAAAATCAATATTAGATAAAAAAAAATTGCAAATCCTTTTTTATCGTTGGATCAATTATCTTGAGAATTATTGCAGGAACATACTTTTCCAACGCCACCTGAAGTCCCCAAACTGTCTCTATTTTGACGTCACGAAATAATATGCTAAAGGTGCTTAGTGATTTTACTATTAAAACCTGACGTCACAATAGACTATGTTGCGTGAAGTAATGTGTAAAATTCTAAAATATCAATGGACAGAAACAGTGTTCAATTTCAGTTTATATTGGTAAATGCTACTCTCTTGTACCAAAACTTGCTGTGAACAATTTTGATATAAATTGAGGGATAATTTGCCAATGATTTATACAAATACCAATGGATCGAGTCTCTTAATATATCAAGTAAGATAATTATGTCATATATCTTATGATCTACAAAATAATACTGCATTACGTGTTGTTTACATTGTCCATCCGAATCATTTATGCATGTATCCTACAAAATTTAGCTTGCGTGTAAATAAAAACACTGAAACTGCGACTGGTTTGAACGCCAAAAAGTCAAATTTCCATCGATATATTCATCGTGTTAAATCATAGCCATTCAAATAAAAATATCTGAAACGAAAATCTGTAGGGGAATAACGAGTGATGTGACACTAGAAACGGCAGATAGTTGGCCTGTTGCACGGGTATTTGGTATTGATAGAACTATACATGTACATGTTGACAAGCTACATACTGTATATCTGTATTCCATCAACTTTACAACATCATAAATGAAATTAAAATGCTGTTTTATCCCGATGTGAAATCGACACATACACAATAATACACTTAAATTGTAGTGATCGAATGACTCAACGATAGAGTTTAAATGACAATCAAAACGTTTCATTTGAGAAAATTCTATATAATTTTTTTCCCAGAGTCGCAGACCCTTAAACATAACACTTAATCACAAATGTCCCATTTATAAATAATTCTTCACTAATTATTTTCTTTACAATAATTTACTCAATGCGGTTGCGTTCCTTTTGTGGTTTTGTTGCTGTGGTTTACCATGTTAGAGAGGTCATAGAACACACACAACGGGATCAACAATAAGTATTGTACATGGAAACCACAGGGGACCAGTTTGCCTATAAAGTCATATAATCACCAGAACGAATTTTTATTGAACTATTTTCATAACCCGGACATTCATTTTAAATAACCATTATCATGGGTCATATACCAGCGAACAAGTCGCCGTACGATATAGAAAGCCTAGTATAATTAAGTTTTTTAAAGATTGAATGATTTGACGGTTAAATGTTCCGGATTTCATATTATATGTGTTAATAAAAACATTTTTGCCTGAAGAAGGGAAAGGTTTGGAGCTGTTCAATCAAATCATTTCACACGTGTTTGTTATAATCCGTAGTATGCCATTTCACTCAATTAATCCTTGGTGTGATAACATAGCAATTACTCTCTAAAGACTAACCCTAGTCGCAATATTATTTCGGTAGCGAGGAACGCAATTCAAAGGCGCAACTAATGTCCGGAACCGAAGGTCTGACTCCCGTTTATATCTTATAACATCCAAAGTCCGCTACGATATTTACTTTATAGTTAAATCTCAGTAATCCGTAACCTCAAAAACAAATAATTTTGATAATCATTACTACTGTTTGAAATAAAAAAAAATCCATCGAAGTTCCCCAGACGTTGCTGGATATCTCACAGGTTTTAAGGAATGGAGTTGAGTTTTAGGCGGCAGATAATTTGTCGGTGGATTTGTTTGACTTTGAGCACCCTTGGATTTTTGTGTTATGGTTCAGCATTCGTTATTCCGCACTGGATGTATATTCAGTCAAACGGATACATACTCCGATATGGAATCTTCACCGTCTGTATTGCTACTGCCCGGAGTCAGGCATGTGGAACACTTGGCCTCGAAACAGTAAACGGTAAGGCATCTCATTTGTATCTTTAACAATGGAATCTCTGTAATTCGATCTCGATAATCCGAAATTATTCCGTTTATCAGGACACACCTTAATCCAGGAAAACTTTGTTTATTTATATGTCTACTAATTTAACTCGCCCCCTTTCCATGTTTTTTTAAATTAATTTCACCACATACGTGATATTAACCGTTAGCGATGATTCCCATACGTGATATTAACCGTTAGTGATGATGCCCCTACCTGATATTATCCGGTCTAAGGTATTGTACCTTCCGTTTTCTTTATGCAATGTCTTAGTTTTATCTTATAGTATCAATACTTTTCTCTAATAGCTCATCGTTATTTGTGGAAAATTAACCTAATTATAATGAGAACAATTTATGCAGTATTCTACATTTTTGTGTAATTTTCCCGTCATATGATTAAACGCAAAAACTGTCTTCACTAGTTCTACCTTATAATAAGATTTTGAACAACCTCGCGACATCCTAAACCATGTACAGTTAAATCCTATCACTGCGACATAAACCGAGTTGTATATTATATAGGCAAAATTTCTCCTCAGGTGTTTCGAAGTTACATAAAGAAACCAAGATAACTGTACACAGATCTTTAAGTGGTCTATCATAGGAAATTATCATAGGTAAGTGTATCCATAACAGTCAAAAGCAAATAATTATACATGTATACCCAGTTTCTATGGCAGTGTGCGCTTGCTTGTTTTTGTATAACTGCGATAAAATACCCAAAATAACTTTTATAGTTTTTAAAATAACGACATACCGGGGTGATCGGGTGTGTTTATGACGGCTTTAAAACTGAAATTAACACGATTAATCAACATATCGATGATTTACAATTCAATTTAACGCTTTAAATAGAAATATCAGTTAATCAGAAAGCGTCTTTCTCCGCCTTAATGCTAATGTTAATAAACGGAAACATTTGGTTGACAGAATAAAATCTAAATTCATTTTAAAATACGCTGTGTTAATGGTGATGTGTTTATATATATATATTATATCACATATAACAACGGGAAACAAATATATATCGAGATAAAATAGGTTAGGATTTTATCATCATACTGATAGTTTTATATATCGAGAACGTATAAGTCGAAACATTATTCATTTGTCTTTTAATCTGAAAAAGATGGAGTCGTAAGACATTTCCAAGACCATCTGTTATTTAAGGCTTGAGGATATCAGCCACAGTGATATTGACATTGGTAAAGGGCCGATTGCTCATTCTATCGTAATCATTCTCGATACTCCAGGGGCTACGATCACTTTAGCTATCTGCACCCCTTCATGATTAGCTCAATCTATATGATAAAAACACTGATCATTTAAGAATATTGTATCCAGTGTCGGATTCGTTTATGGTCTTCTTCGACGTTGTAATAATTTATGTTCTGGACACCAACACAAACTTAAACTATTTTGCCGAACAGTTGGAATGACTGGTGTTCACCAGATAACATTTTGTAAAAATATCTCTAGTGTAAGATCCAGGAGAAACTTGTGCTATAATGTGCTTAGTTCGAAGGGTTTTTACAGTATATGCGCGACTTTATAAAAAAAACTATCATCGCGAATAGACAGTAGGAACCCTTCATACTAGGTCCTGATATGCTCTTTTGTGGCAAAACACGAGATTCTACATACGGACTCTCTTTCTTAAAGATATTGTAAGGAAAATTTTACGATAAAACTTGTTTGATATGTTTTACAGGTATGTTTGTAGC